GGCTGTTACTGAATGGGGGAGAGCTAAGCACACCAAAGAGTTGCTTTGCAAGGTTTGGAAAAGGTAACCTGGAAATACATACCGGCATAAGCTACATATTAATGCAATAACAAAGAATTTGGACCGTGATATGCGGCGCTTGCTATCGGTGTTTTTTTCTTTTTCATGTAAAATCCTGGAATATCAGCAGCAGAACAATGTTAAACAATGAAAAATAGTGCAATATATATGCCAGTTATCTCCTTCCCAGAGATAAACACTGAATGCCTTGAGCTGAAATGAGGTCAAAGGCCGAAGGACAAACTAACATGGTAAACTATACGTTTAGTACCCTAAACTATTATTTTTGTTCCGGATTAGTCATCCAACTATTTTTTTAATCATTTACAATGTACACATACCTTATAAATATAGCTGCTCAAATTTAGATTCTCTATGAATAATAACACTCCTCTTAACTAGAGATCTCTTGATGGTTCATAACTAGATCAATTAAAGCTTCGGTATATACATATAATATATATATAGGGAGACCATACTAGGTACTAGGTACCTGAATAGAGAAATTTGAACAAGTGTAGAGGGCCACCGCCGGCTCCACCACAAACTTCCTCGGTATCGCCGCCCAACCATATCCCATAACCTGCGTTTAAGAGACCACGCCATTTATCATATAAAACGAAAGTTAAGCCGTATATGAGAAATTCTCATTCTTAGAATCATTTATACATGATTAACATGTAGGATTAAAAAGTTAAGTAACTCGACCTGTGTAGTAATGATAAGAAGCCAACTAGACAAGAAAGAGATGCTCCTTCCATAAAACGCTTTGATAATGGTAACAATACCAACAGCATAAACCGTACCGCTTCCGAAAGCGCTCCCAGCATTAGCAAATATAGTAATCAAAACATGTTCCTTCATGTTGAACGGTCTGGGGTTAAGCGAGAACTCCCTTGAACCAAAACCCGGCATACGAAACTTAGTCGTGGGAAGAACCGAAGCCATGAACCGTCTGTAGACACCCATTTTTTGACCGGACTTAAAAAGATTATTATTATTATTATAATAATTATTATTATTATATTATTATTATTATTATTAAATAATAATTATTTATATTGCAGACCCAATATGAGCAGCCCAGATTACAAGTCTCAAGACCCAAACAACACCCAACAACAGTAACCGTATGCAGACCCGAAGCAAGCCGTCAGTGACCAGCTCGTCACCACCACGGGCACCAGACGCCACGCCGAGCCATCTTACCGAACCAGCCATCATCGTCGAGCCACTAAGCCACCAGTGTTCATTGTCGTCATGGCCTACATCATTAACCAACAAATTATCACCCAAAATCAACAGATTATACCTAAACCACCCAATCAATAAAAAGCTTCCACTATCATATTTCTTTCCACCCACTACCCTATTTCACTACAACCCGTGCCCATGCTCCACCAAACACCATCCCATTTTCACTCCACTAAACCTACTCCAATATAACATGACCCACTGAAAATCCAATAAAAACAAATACCACAAATCCATTAAAAAAATCCTAATCACTACTCCATTACCAGTAACCATAAATAAACAAGGGGAGAGTATTCGCCAGAGGGGGGAGGCGGAAAATCAGTGTACACAGAGGGGAGCTCGGTTTTAGAAGAGAACAGGGGAGAACGATTCGAACAAGGGAGAGTTTGTTTTTTTATATAAAAAACTGTAATACAAATTTTCCAGAACACGAAAGCAATAAAACATCAAAAATTTTCAGGTATTTTGTTCTTATTTTTTATTTTGATTTCGAGCATAAAAAAAATCGAAGAGCGAGAAAGAGAACTTACCTTGGCTGACATAGAGGGCTTTCAAGTTCCTTGACCATTATATAGTTAAGTTTTTTTTTTCCTTAGATGAAACGACATAGTTTAAATAGGGTACATGGTATTTCATTTTGAGAGATTGGGTTTATTTCCTAGATAGTCATGCATGTTTTCTAATATTTTAATTTCATCTTCATATTTTACGTATGTTTTATTTTGGTACTCATATCGAGTCTTTTATGTTTTAATTTGGTCATTATATATTTTTACGCATTTATTTTAGTCCATGTTTGTACTTATTTATAGTTTTCACAATGTTTATAATTTTGGTCAATTATTTTGTTTTCTTTTATTTTCGGTCCTTTATGTTGTTTACAATTCCATTTGTTTAAATTATTAATTATGTTTTAAATTTTCCCTTATGTTTATTTTATCCATTATTTTAGTATAATATTTAGAATTTGATGGTTTTATTATATATTCGGTCTTGGTCATTTTTCATAATTTTAATTTAATATATTTATTATTTAAATTTTTTTACTTTAATTTAAACCATATGTTTTGGTTTATTCATTTTTAATGCTTTGTTATCATATTATATATGTAAATATAGTATGTTTGTAAAATGTTCACTTTTGTTTATTTCAATAGTTATATTACTTATTTTATTTGGATTTATTAATGTTTTTATATATGAAATTTATAAATGATATTAATATATTTTATAATATATTTAAAATAAATCTAGTTCATTTCAAATGTTTTATTAATACATATCGTTTATTATTATTAGTTGTATATTATAGTCACTCACCCTATATTATGTTTTATTTGATAATAGAATTTGTTTTTCTTTTGTTTTTAGCCCTTTAATTATTTAGTCTTTATTATTTCATGTTATAAATTGGTGTTTAAGTTTCGTAATATTTATATTAATTTTAATATATATATATATATATATATAACATTAATTTAAACTCATTTAAGCTCGTTTTAAGTATATAAAGTAATTTCAATTATATTTACTTAGTAAGGTTATCTATCATAAAAGCTTTAATGATATTTAGTTTATTATGTAAATCGGTTTATTTATTACTTATTATATTTTCAGAATCTTATGTATTCATATGTATATATATTTATTATTTTAATTTTTAGCTAGCATTACTTTATCGATTTTAATGTTATTTATTAAAATATATTTCAAGAATATTTTAAAATAATCAATTCAAAGCAAATTAATTAAATTTTAATAAATAGATCATATTTTAATTTTATATTTTACTCAGGATTTCCATTATTAAGACAACGTGTAAGCGACACAGTACTAATTTTGGGCGCTGTGGGAGTGCTAATCCTTCCCCACAAGTAATCGACTTCCAAACCCGTTTTAATCGAATCTTTGGTAAACGCAAACCAACTTTTGTCTTAAAAAATGATTTTTCTTAAAATTATTTTTTTAAAAGACATTTTTTAGGTATTCGACCTACCTAACCCAAAGGTTGATGACGACTCTTTTCAGCTTTACCCAAATTAATCCAAAATCACCCCATTTTTCAAAATTAAAATCGTAATTGTTTTTAAAACAAGTAAACGATTGTCCCGCCGAAAAACGGTTACGACACCGTCCAATGGGGAGAGTAGCCACCTGGACGGTGATTTGGGTGATAACGAGCGGCTCGGTCCGGTAGCCGAAAAACTGGTTCAAGAAGGAAAGAAGGATGCAAGAGAAAAGACCCAAGAACCACATACGGAAAGTCCATACTGGGAGTGAAGGGTCGTCGTTGTTTGGCATTGTTAGACGAACTTCTTCTATCGGAGATAGCTCGCTTTCGTCGATATCGGCCTCCTCTTTCACCGCTTGCTCAGCCAGTTTTAGTGATGCTTCAATTTCCAGAGTTCCCATTGTCAGCAATAATCAAAACCAAAGAGAAAAAAAAAATAAAAACTAAGAAGTCTTAGCTTAGTTGCAATGACTTGCTTCTTGATGCCACTTTCTTTTTACTAGTAATATCAATCACTTATTATTCCGTAGAGGGAATGTTTTGCTGGAATCTTTACTGGGTATTTTATGTATCTTACTCTCCTATAAATAGTACCTCTATGTCCACTTATTTGTCCCCAATAAATGCCCACTTTTGTTGTGTGTTATTAGTATATTTATAATTAAACATTTTCTCCTTTTTATTAATAAAGCTAATTTGAGAAAAATAATTATTAGATAAGAAATAAATAAAAATAAGGTCAATTTCTATATAAAAAAAGTTATTTATTTATTTATGAATTTAACTCTCCACTATAATTTGATTTTTTTTTTAAATAGCTTTTGAAATATATATTTTTAATTCCAAAACTGCATAGTGTTGAGGTCAATTTCTTCGACATCGAGCCGGGGAAGATCTTGGTCTTACTTTTGTTTGAATGATGATTCCAATATGATGTAAGAAAGGATTGTGGAAGTTTAGTTCCATAAATTGGCTGCTGTTTGTTTTTTCTTTTTATAAGGTAATATAATATTGGTTTTTGAAGTTACAAATTAGTGGATTAAATGTATAATTGGTTGATTCACCCAAACCCCCTTATTCTTATGCTTCAAAATGCTATTTGATTTTCATTTAACCATATGATGACATGTGTCACCATCTAATTGGTGGACTAAGTTCATTTAATTAAATTTGATTTAAGACCAAATTGATTAAATGTATAAATATTGAGGACTAAATGTATAACTATATTAATTTTATTAACGGTCACGTCATCATTTCCATAACATATTAACACCAAGTGATCTAATTGAGCATAATTAAATAGTTAAGTGGTCTGATTGATAAAATTACAATATCAATGGCAGAAGTAAAGGGCTACATAGTTGAGTGGTCAATGGTATAGTTTACCCAAAAAATCATGAATGACGAATGTAAAGCAGTAGATCTCATCAAAAGGCACTTTGCTTGTTCATACAGCATGATTGCAACATATAGTTTCATGCAAGGAAACAAATTATGAATTAAACCAAAGGGCTTTAGAAACATTAACGCAGAAAGTACAAATGTACAAATAAATAGTGTATATATATATATTCCTATTTCTCTTGGGTGATGAAGAGGAGCTGGGGAGTGTTAGGTAAGTAGTAACGTCAACCTCAAGGTTGAATATCTACACGTATATCAGCTCAAAGTACTGGCGATGTTAAAGGATCAGCGTCTTTTACTTCGGGATTTGGTGATCCTTGATTTACTTGATTCATTAGGCGGTTTCCAAATGATATCCTCTAGGTTGCTACAAAATGTCTTGTAAACTGTGAGACAAAGATGCATTGTTTACGTCAGAATCCAAAAACAAATGAATATAGAGAAAGATTATGTTCAAGGGGGGAGGTCGACCCATACCGACATTCCAAGTAATCGAGTAAAAGAAGAATGTTAAAGCAGATTACTTGATCAAACACACCTGATGTGAGTGTGAAACAAGGTAAACTAACCTTTAGGTATTCTCCTGCATCACCGGCTGCTTTTTGTAGATCTACCATCAGAAACGTGGGAGCAACCTCGAAAACCTTCAATTCCCGAGAAAAATCAGAGGGATGGGGAGGAAAAATATTAGTTAGAAGCTAACGAAGAATTCAGCAAAAGTTGAGATCAATAACCTACTTCAAGGATAACTGAAAAATGAGAAGTCTTGCTAGCTGAAAGACCTTCAATTCTCATCTGAATAATCAACATAGTACAGGAAAAGATTCCCCAATCAATTATATAATTAGCAAACCCAGGAATGGAACAGCTAGAATTCATTTACTTACTAGCAAGCATAAAAGCTACATGCCAATTGAAATAAAGAGCAAAATCCGTCATAAGCAATAGTTAATAGCCCAAGACCTCTACCTTATAATTGCGAATGTGTGTCTTATAGCCCATTGATTGAGCAACAACCTCCATGCTAGATAGAACAACCCTTCCTGGCTTCTGTGAAACAAATCGTGTCTCATACTTCATGGTGTCCTGACAGGGAGAATAATGCATTCACAAAGCTTAATTTAGGCAGGAAAAACATATCGGACTGCCTCAAGGAAAACATATCCTGAATACAAGTTATTTTGAAATTTCCATAAATGGTTTCCAGATATGACTGCAAGGTAAACCGAAGCTCATAAATAGATGGCACTATACATTGAAAAGCCAATAAAACACGAACAGAGGTAGAAGCAATTAGTTCCTTCATGAACTGTTAAACAGAGGTAGAAGCGCTATTGACATTTATCAAAGAACTCTACCTTCCCTCGGTCGAAAAGTGTTGCAAGATTCAAGCCTTGAGAAAGAATGATCAAGTCAAATGCATTAAGATTCAAAGGACCACTATCATCATTTCTTGGTGGCTCATTACCCCTTTCTTCCTACAATATATTATTAGGAATTGGGAGTTCAAAATTAGTTGCAGTGATGCATTTAATCTAACAAACCCAATTTAGGCACACATGCATAAGAAAACTTGGTTGAAATTATTGATTGGAAAACCCAAATTATACTTTTACATCACATTTAACTAAATTAAAGCTGTTAAATACCTTATCAATCTCAGGATCATCAAACACAGCATTTACGTCATCCAAGTTAATATCCTCATACTCAAAAAGTCTGACAGGAACGTAGTTCTTCTTAAACCACTCATCACTCCTGATTTGCTCAATTGTAATGCGCTGTATAGAAAAGGGAGAATGAAGAAAATCAAGCGGAAACAAAAGTCATATTGAAAACAATGTTACATTTACAGAAATACTGATATCAATAAAAAGAAATACATATGGTAGGTACAGGTGCACTTAGTTTCATATGAGATCAGAGTCCTTCATGGTTTGCAATGGGAATAAGTTATGCAAAGTAACTAGTCAAGGCAATCCATATGTAAAACATGTCTTTACGGTGGTCTGCATGAGGGCTGTCAGAATACTAGAACCAAATAAATAATGGCTTCTCGAAACCACACTAGATTAGGTTGGACATTTCTGATTTAGGGTGCATTCCAGGATAGCTAGACATCATTTTGTATACCTTGAAACAAATTCTGTGGCCTTATGATTCATTTTGATAGTTAGGCAACCCAAAAAAATCAATTATTGGACAACAAATACTTACAGTTTGAGGATTTGGATCTAGAATTCTATGAATCAAGGATTTTGCTTCCACAGGAAACCAAGAAGGGCAAGAAAACTCAGCTCTCTCAATCTGCTGTTAAAGGAACCCGTCAATGCAGTACTGGTTACGTCAAAATTATAGTTAATAAAAAGCTGCTGCTATAAAAATGATAGTTTTTCTTTCATTTATTTCAATGTTTTTGGTATATACCATAATCCATTAGAAGAGATAAAAACAAATAAACAATAAAGATAAACTTGTAAACATGAAGGGAAAAAAAAAGCCCATGCCTTACTATACAGTGTGGTGAGATCAAGCTCATCAAATGGAAGATAACCTGCCATCAGAACATAAAGGATGACACCGCAAGACCAGACATCTGCCACAGCACCATCATAACCCTTGTGACCGAGAACCTGTAACAAAAAGGAAATGTTGATGGCAAGACAATAACAGACATTAAACAATTAAATCTGTGGTATTTTCAACTCAAAATATGCATATATTACAATTTTACCTCTGGTGCCACATAGTTGGGAGTTCCACACGTCGTCCGAAGTAGGCTAACTCCCTAAACATACATATTATCAAATAACAAAGCGTATCATCATACTTCTTTCAAACTATTTTATGTTCGAGGAGGAAGGCGAAAAAAGTTGTTCACTCTTCACTTAATTTCCTACTTGTTCTGGCAATGCGCTAAGGCCAAAATCTGAAATCTTTAAATTTCCTTGGGAATCAAGTAAAAGATTTTCAGGCTGTAAATATAGAAGAAAACAAGTAAGAATTATGAAATCTGAACAAAGAAAAATAGCAACAAGGATGTTAAGGAAAAGGAAACCTTCAAATCTCTGTGGTAGACTCCCTTACTATGGCAAAATTCCACACCATCAATAAGCTGTTGGAAATATCTTCTAGCTTCAGCTTCACTAAGACGACCATTTTGAATCTGCAAGATTACCAATTTACCGTCCACCTTTAAAACAAACCTGATAATGCGACCAAAGCTGGATCTTTGCTTCTAAGATACTTACTATTTTATCGAACAATTCACCACCAGTAATGAACTCCAAGATTATATAGATCTTAGTTCGACTTGCTATAACCTAACAAATGCAAAACTAATATTTTGTTAGAAACCAACCAAGTATTAGCCATATTGAATTTAATGATTAATGCTACAGTTATACTACCGAATTACTTACCTCGTGCAAACGAACAACGTAAGGATGTCTAACAAGCTTCATTATAGATATCTCCCTTTTGATCTGAAATATTTAATGAATATAAAAGGAAAATAAAATTCGTGATTAGCTTCAATAGAAACTCAAACTTGCAAATCATATTTAAGAACTGATAATTTTTCAAAAAAAAAATTTAGAACTGATAACTATGACTATGATTTAAGCAATGGCAATTTATCGAAATCACCTATAATCCAGTAAAATTACATAAAAAGTAGACACAAATAAATAAAATTACTCTTATATTATACGTTCAACAAATTTCTCATGAAATTACCAAATCTCATTTCAGTAACATAAGAGATGGAAATTTGACTGATCGACCATTTGTGTTTGATAATGGTGCTGCGATCGAGGACTTTCATGGCAACACTTTCGCCGGTCTCCGTATTTGCGCGAACTTAACCTTTGCAAAGGTTCCTTCACCGACTGTTCTTCCAATCTCATACTTCCCTACCTTTCTGACCACCATCGCTAACTTTCTTCAATTTTCTCAGTCTCGGAATCCCACTTTCTCTCTCACCAAACAGAAGGAATAGAAAAAAAGGGGGGGAGACAGAAAGGAAAGTGTTTTAAAGTATAGAAAAGATAATCGACCAAAGCTTAATCAAAGAGTTAGTGCGTAGATTTTAGCCTTTCATTTTGCACTTCAAAATTACTAAACTTGTAATAAATAATCTCAGTGTAATGAAAGTATAATAAAGACAAAATTAAGTTCTGTTTTCGAGGGAACAGTAAATAAATTCTCCGGATTATGAATTTGCAAAGATAAATATTTTTAATGTTGTAAATTTTGGAGTTTAGAATTTAGCGGTGACTAAACTTAACTGGCTGCTCCTTTCTTATATAGTGGGTGCTAGCCGACTCTACTTCTGGACATTTCTTTTTGTGTTTCATTAACTTCTTCAAATATAATAAATAAATAAAATGTTTTTATTTATAACCATTTTTAACTTACTGGTTTAGTATTATAAAAAAAATTAAAACTTCTACCAGCCTAACAATAGATACTTACCTTTAACTATACATAAACTAAATCTTATATTATTATTTTTATAAACATAAAATCTCACCAACTTTACTTTTCATCTTTCTTTCTTCTTTTATTCCATGTCTTCGATTAATATATAATAATATATCTAAAATTTGTTCTTATCAATCTAAATACCTGAAGTGTTGAAGAGGATTCCTCGAGATTAGCAAAGATTTTCCATAATTTTAAAATCTCACATATACCAACTTAAAAGTTCCGGTGATTCTTAGCTTGATAGAGAAGAAAGAGAGTGGAAAACAGCATCAATGCACACCATGGGCTCGATAATTGCTTTTAGGGAGAGATTAATCCTCAAAAATCAGCCACGTGATTTTTTTTCATGAAAAATAGAAACTAAATAATAAAATTAATATACGTAACCTCTTTAAATTTATTTAGTGAGTATGGTTTTAAAGTTTTAATGAATAATATGGTGAAAAAATAAATTTATTTTCGTGGAGGGTTGAAAAAAGTATTTCCTCAATTAAGATAAAATGAATGGTGTGTGAAAAAAATGATCAAATCACTCGATGTTTTTAAAAAGATATAATATATTTAATTATATCGTTAAATATAGTAAAATAAAAATTGTTATTTCTATTGTATGTCTTCTTCGTGCGATTTTCCATTCACATTGTAACAAATATCATATCTAAAAAAAATCTTCTAATATTCTATATGAGCCAGTTTTTTCCAACACCCTCATCTAAACATTTTTCTCTATATTATTTATATAAATTAATAAATTTTAGAAAATATAAATGACTACTGTATAATTAAATACTACTAATGATCCTTCTCTATCTAAAAATATACGATTAGGATTGAAAGAGAATACGGATATCTCCAATCGAACTTTGGTTAGTCTGGAAAGTGAGGCGAGACAGATCGTGAGCTACTCGAGATCGACTCGATCTTGGCTCGATATATACTCGGATCGAATGGACTCGACTCGAGCTCGAACTCGACTCGAGTTCTTAACGAGCCAAAACGAGCTACTCGATACTCGACTCGAAAAGCTCGTGAGCAGCTCGAAAAAAAAATGTTATATTATAATTTTAGATTTTTTAAAATTACATTATTAAAAATATATTAAAAATACATTATTGATGAATAATCTTGAATTGAAAATGGTTAAAAAATTATTTTTTAATAAATTTTCTTATATTTTTTAAATTAATAAAAAAATTATTTATCTAATGACAAATATTTAATATATTTCTAATGATAATATTTGTAATAACTAATTTTTTAAATTGTTGTTATATTTTGAGGTTTTGAATTCAAATATTATAAATATCAAGGGTTTTAGCATTTAATATAAATATATATTACTTACCTCATAACTAATTTTTTATTGATAATAATATAATATAATAAAAAAATATGATTCAATTTAAATATTAATAATTTAAAAAATATATATCAAAACAAGTATACTCTCTCTCCTTTCACTAAGCCTTCACATTCCTTTCACTAAGACATATATGCACATTGAATGTGAATTTACAGTTGTCCTAATCTACTGTTTGAAATTTTGGATGACCAAAAATATCTTAAAATGCTAAAAAGAAGGCTTTGCCGCTAAGTTTTAGCATGGAAGGCTTGCCGCTAAGTTTTAGCATGCTCACACCATAGGCCTAGCAACAAAGTAACAAACTACATACTGTCGGTGTTCGGCAATTAAATCAGAAATGAAAAAAAAGTAAATAACTGTAAGGCTTCTTCGATCATGACATCAGGTATTTGAAATTTGTTAAACTGACTTAATTAACTTATAAAATTTACAAATATAAAAAATAGCTTGATGGTTCACAACTAACTTGAATATAAATATAAAATGATGGAAAAAGAAGGCTTACTAGAAGTCTCATCCTACATGCTAATGAGTCATCATAAAAATATACAAGAAAACTTACTTCCCCTTTCCAGAATTGAATTACCATATAAACAAATAGCAAAATTGTCATCAACTCCATTCAACCCATTGCAATTCGTCATTTACAGCTGCATTAAGCCATACCATTGAATTGATAGTTTCATATATTAATTAGGCTACAAGTTTTTGATGAATTCCATTCCGAGGTGATAATACCTCACCCAGAACATAAACTCAATATCCTAATAAAATGATTAAACAAAACATTCATTTGTATTAAACCCTAAACCTTAAACCTAAGCCTTAAACATCAAGCCCTAAACTCTAAATCATAAGGTCTAAAATATGAACCTTAAACCTAAATGTAAACGTAAAATACTAAACCTTAAACCCTAAACCTTGAATTATAAATTATAAACCCTAAACACAAACTTTAATACCTAAAACCTTAAACCATGAACCCTAAACTATAAATACTAAACCCTAAATAATGATTAAATTCAAAATATTGAACAATTGAAAGTTGAAATTAAACCTAAATGATAAAATTAATAAACAATAAGATTTGTTTTACAATAATATATATCAGTAATTATATATATTTGATTTGACTCATATCTTAAACCAAATTAACTCGAAGATCTAAATTTTAGCCATAATAAAAAACTAGTCGATTTGTTATTGACACGACCTGAAAATTTATCGATTTGATATTAACATAACTCAATATTTGATTAGACCTAAACAAACTTACTATAAACTTGAATTAAATAAAAAATGAATTGGTTTTGACATCAATTGAATCGGATATAATTTAGATCCAAATAACTTTATTCAAACTTGATTCAAACAATCTGATTATACCTAAATTCAGTTTCATATTTGCAATCACATAAAATAAATTCCCGTGTCACATTACAAAATTAAAAAATATAACAATTAAACCAAAACTACAAGATTTTAAAATTTGAAATTTAATAAAAAACAAAACAAATTATTCTCTCGGATAATATAAGGAATTATCCCAATGACAAACATTCTCTTGAACCTCATTCCAACGTTGGAAGCAAACAAGCAAGAAAACCTTAATCCCGAGCTATTTCTGACAAGCTATATAAACACATTATTTTGGGAATTTATTTTAATAAAAAAATCAAATGGAACTTGCTTTAAGTATTTCCAAAATATTTGTCGGGCATGCCATGTATTTTCCTATTATTATTATTATTATTATCAAAATGTGAGTGTTTCTTTGTACATTATCAACGTGTAAACGAGCTCCATCACCCCAAAAAAATCAATTAATAATTGATTATTGTTGAGCTGTCCAAGAACATGCTAGGGCCATTGTTTATGGTCGTGTTGGGAACTGACAAAAGAGAATTTATTTTTTCTATTGACACCTTTCTCGGTTCCTCAGGTTTGCCCCTTTCCCTTTCGTTTTCATTATGATCCATTTGGTTTTTTTTGCAATTTCGAATTTTCATTTTCAATAGTTAATGCTAATCGTTTTAAGATCAGCTAGAAGAAGATACAAATGTTCATTAGAAAACCCCACTCTACCGTGCTTTTAAAACTGAGGAATCGAAGCATTCCGTCCCCATTGTTCGTCTAAATGCTTGCGTCTGTGTGTTGGCGAACTTTGACTATACTTTCATGTCCCGGCTCCCACGACCGAATAGTACATTTCCTCTCTGGTGAGTTTGTTTATGAGTTTGTGTATCTTTAAATAAATATTCCTTTAATTTTTTATTTATTTTTCACTTGTATTTTTAGATATGTTAGTGAACCACAAGTTTTCAACACCCATTGGTGTTTCAAGAGTTGAAGAGTTTTTGCAGTGGCGATCTAGAAATTAAAAATAGGGATCTAAAATTTTAATACCCTATTATTAAAAAAAATTGGGTAGCAAATTTTCTTATATTTTTCTATTCTTATTAACAAATTAAACTAAATTTAACACTTTTCTCAAATAATGGGTGTGCAATGGCTCCCCTAGGGGCCATGTACATCCGCCCCTGGTTTTTTGTGAATGTGATGATGAACATAACAAAGAAGAGTGCAATATAGAAGCTTCTGAACCAACTGTTGACAGCACAACAAAAGAAGTTGAGGTGAAAATCCTTTCCAAGCCTTTAAG